AGAGAAAACAAACTGGTCTTCCTCACCCTCTTGAAATCAAGTCTTCAAATAACCTTCGCCATTCCTGGTTTTTATACATCCGATGCCACTCTGAAACCCAAATTCAGTAGGTGTTTTGCTCTTACGAGATTTCTGGAGCTGCCCGGGATTTCTCAGAGTTGTGTACTTGAGGAAGACTGAGACCCATCAAAGCCTCCATTGGACGGGCTGGGCTGGTCAACCCACACACACACAACCCACCTTCCCTGGGTAAGTTACCAGCTTATGGCACACCATGAATCATTATCTGTGAGCAATAAATATGAGGTGACAGAGTGCCTTGTGCTATGGAGATGCTGAAAAGATTCACAATATAAGCTACAAGGGAACTTGAAACTGCATAAGGATGAATAATATGGCATTTGGGGTAGAATTTCAGGTGAGGGGCCTGGTCCCAGCTGCCAGATACACTCTAAAGTATTACCCCGAGCAGTATTTTGAATGCATGATACCCGGTGTGTCTATAATTCACTCTCTGCAGCAAAGTAGTGTTACTCTGCTCAGTGGCATTCTGTCAAGACCAAACCTATAATGCTTTTAACCCTTCGCTGAAGGCTTTTGGGAATAAAAACTAAAGCAGATGTATGGCAAACTGTACCTCCCTTCTCCCTGCTTCTATTTCCTGCTCCTTATTTGCTATTCATTTTTTGACGCTCCACTTCTTTCTTTCTCTTACTATCTTTTGTTGCCTTAACCTCCCTCCATTCTTCAATCTCTCTCCATTGTTTTATTTTTATTTTTTAAGATCTTATTCAAATTTCATTATTTATTACAGCTTTTGGAGACTAATGTGCTTAATTTCCCTACAGATGCCTAAATTCCTTACCATGATTGATGGTATCCAGTTACCTAAATCTGAAACTTGGGAGTCATACTGAACACCTTCATGTCTCATCCTCACACCTCATTGTTCATCGGGTTTTTTTTATTCTCCTTTTTTCCAATTCACTACCAGCCTTGGTTCCTACTGTTAGCTCAGTCTTCATCTCTAGTCTGGACTCTTAGAACAACTTTCTAACTCTTCTCCCATGAGGCAGCCCTCCCCCTGCTTCTTTATTTTGGCCCTTCCAAGCATGCCACTCCCCTATTTTCTTCATTTGTTCCCTACAACTTGTAGATAGAACCCTAATTTCCTTCCACTGCATACAAGGCTATCCCAAACCAAGTCCCTGTCTCTCTCGCTTTGTAGCCTCATCTCCACTGCCTGCTCCCCTCCTAGCCCACTACAGCCAGGCTGTGCAACCTCTCCACTCCCAGGACAGCAAGCACTCAGCCTCTGCCAGGAATGCCCAGCATATCAGTGTCTTTGTGGCAAACTGTTTCATACCTCCCAGTGCCTTGCTCCAGCCTGCCTTCTCCACAGTGCTTCTGCTGATAACCCCCTCTGGGTACTCATGGTGGCTGCTGTCGGCCTTTATAGTACTGCCCATACTGTGAAAATTGTTTGCATGTTGCAGCCCTACTGAAACTGTGCTCCCTTTGAGGACACGGACCTTGTCATATGTCTTTCATAGTCTCAGTGCCTCATATTTCTTTCAGTGTCTTTCAGTCTCAGTGTCATATTTCTTTCATAGTCTCATACCCACAAAGTAAGTATGCTTGCTAAGTGAATGAATGATGAACCAGAAAACATTATTAAAAAAATATCTCCTTGAGGGATGAACAGATAGCCATATATGTGATAAACCAAGTTTGGGGAAATGTTAATGCAGGAATCTAGATGGCAGGTGTTCATTGCAACATGCTTTCAATTTTGCTGTATGTTTGAAATGTTTTGGTTTTTTTCATAATAAAATGTTAAGGAGTGGAACCATTTCCTAAACTGGTAGTTAAAACAGTTCTCAAGATCTGTGGCCCATTTCACTCACTGAGACTCCACTGAAAGAGTGTATTTTAAATCCCAAGAGATCTCTCTTAGTTCCATTCTGTCTGGGATAGAGCTGAATTAGATTCTCAGTAGCCTCCCACTAAGAAATCAAGAGAACTTGATTCTGCTAGGGGAAAGGGGTCCTTTTCCAGCTTCCTGTGTTAACCAGGACCTGTTCTTTCTCTGACTACTGGACTTTCCTTTCAACTTTCCCTTGGAAGAGGCATTTCTTCTCTTCCTGATCTGATTCCCAAGAGCCAAATCAGGTTACTCTCACATTACTTTCATGCAAGAGACTCTTTTCTCTTGAAATCTGTTATCTGCCCACTTCATCTCTATGGATGAAAACTTATGATTCAACTCAACTGTTTCATCCACTTTTCCCAGAGTGCCCACTGGGTTTTTCCAGTTACACAGTGAGGCTTGCTCACAGACCACTCAGTCTGTACACTAGCCTCGATCCAAAAGGTTGAAGTCATTGGTCCTTCATTTGAACTCTCTTACCACTTGTGTAAACTGCTCCACATAACCTGTTCTACCTTTTTTTTTTTTTTTTAAGTTTCTTCCCTGTTAGACTGTGGACTTAGATATGTATTTGAATTTTCCATAATGAATGGCAGAAACTGGCCATAGCAGGCATTCAATAATTAGCTGATGATGAAATAAACAGATAGTTTCTGGTATTTAAATGTATTCAATACATGCTATTGAGAAGCCAGAGTTAACACAAAATAAGTATGACAGACAAACTGTTTGCATTTTAAATCTAAATTTATAAAAGAGGGTGATTTTTTTTTCAAATGAGTCAACAGCTTTAGGGAATAACATTTCTAAGATTAGTCATATTTTGCCAGATTAATAATTTCCTAAAAGTTTCCTCCTTTCCTGAGAAGGCTAAAAATACTCTCCTAACTGCTAACTTCAGATTAATATTAATAAAAGGTGATCTGGCCAGGCAGATTAAATGACCATGAGGTGTTTCTCCAAATAACTCAAGAAATCTCATATTAATATCTATCCATTTAAAAGAATTTCTTTAAGGCAGAAATAAATACAGTTGCAAATGATATTCTGTCCACTCTGAAAACAGCATTGTATGTTTGGCTCCAAAGCTTATGAATACTAATTAACCACTCTGGAAAAGCTTTTGGAGAAACTACTAAAGTGGCCTAAAGTGCAGCTATAAACATGACTTCAACATATATACTGTCGTGGGCATAGTAAAAAGCCAGTTCTTTCAGCAATGGTAAAGCTTTAAGCTGTTAAATCAGGCTGATGATCATGCCAGAGGTGGCTCTACTTCATAACCGGAAGCTGTGTTTTCAAGTTAAAATACCCTATTTTAAAGAATAAATTAAGAATAGCATGAAAATATAATTCAAACTGGCGCTCCCTTTGGCTCTGCCAAATCTGGGTTTAAATCCTGACTCAACTACTTCTTAGCCTTACAATCGGGGCAAATCATTATCCCTTTTTGTGCATCAGTAATACCAGCTCTCAGAAAGTTGTTGTCATGGTTATAACACACACACACACACACACACACACACACAGATATTTGTATATGAGATATATAAAATGGATTATAAATATGAAGGCCTAACATAATGCCCAACATAGAGCAGTTTAATATGATAGTTATATCCTCTTGTCCACCTCAACCTTTTATCTCCCAACTCTGAAAGAAAAACAGACTCTTAAACCCATGTGCTTGCCTGTTAATAATATACAATGGAAAAAAGTTATTTGCTGCAATTTTATAGAAGAGAGATATTTTTATTTACATCATTTAAAAGAGTTTTGTTAAGGATTTATATTTTGCATGAATTTTGAGTGCTTATCAAGAGAAGGAAAGCTAGATTTCCAGAATGTTCCTTACTAAAGGGACAAAAAAGAACTCACAGATTTTTCAAATTAAAGTTGTGATTTTGAATAAATGTAGGATAAGACTTACACTTCTTTGAAATAAATATATTGTGTTGAGGTTCAGATATAAAAACCAGACACTTTACAAAGACACAAATATGTGCATCCTGTCATATAAGATGATTGTTCTTTCTAAATAAAATTCCTCTGGAAACATTTAAAAATAGTTAATGTAATTTTTAAAAAGTTCTTCAAACTGGATAAATCTAGTCAAAAGGAGTAGCTCTCTTTTTAATAGGTTCATGAGCATATAATTTTCATTTGAAAACATTAACAGATTATATTTAGGATAGTTTTTTAATTTTAGTTTTTAATTGTTAGGCAGAGCCATATAGCTGGATTTCTTACATATTTTAAGTTCATGGCTTCAGATGTTCATGTGCAGCACCCCTCTATTTTCATACAAGGAGACAGCCTGAAAAGTCCTGACTCTGCCCTGTCTGTCTCCATTCTCCCCATGCTTTCTGTGAAGTACTCTTTACATAGTAGCATTCAGGAAATTTCAAATGAATGCCTAACTGAATAAACAAAGTACATTATTTAAATAAGATATAAGACTATTTAGGATTTGGGCTGGCATCTGCTGTTAATAAACAGATTTCCTCATACATAAGAAAGAGAAATTTCAGAGCCTGAAGACTTTTATTCTCCTTTATAAACAGCTATGTAATTATCTTTCTCTACTTTCTACAATAAGAAAATTAGCATTTGAAACACAAGTAGTTTCAAACATATACTTTCATTATCTGTATAACAAACATGAATTTTAATCTTTACCATGGCAGAAATTCATTATTATATCCAAAAAGAAAGAGAAGTTTTCATTTTAAAGTATGGCTCATTAGAAATCATCTTTATATTTCTAGAACAAATCAAACACAGAATGCTCGGTTAGATGTGACCTTAGAGATTATCCACTCAATCTCTCATTGGATAGATAAGTAAAGTTTGCTCCAAAAAGGTTAAATGACTTAACAACATCATACAGTTAGTGGAAGAGCCCAGGGAAAATGAAGGTTTCCTGATCACATATCCAGTACAGATGCAGCTTTCACAAATGCTCTATGTAAACTATACTACAATGGTGGTTTTATGGGGCTCTTCAAATGTGGGAACCAGTATAGGTGGGTCACTAGAGACCACTGGCCCCTCCCCATGGGAAACTCACCTTCAGTATTGGAAATGGGGGTACTGTCACATTTGCTTTCACAATGCTGCATTGATGGAGGCCGAACAGTTTCTGGACAGTCACTAGCTGCCTGTCCAGTGTAGGAGATACACTGCACAGTCCGCATTTGCCGTCCAAAGCCACATTGAGCAGAACACTAAAAACAAAGATACAGAAAGAAACAACTGATCTCAAATTTCAGGAAGTGAAAGAAGTACTGTGTCATTTCAAATACCATATATATTAGCTTGTAAAGCTCACATGTAGTTCATCTTGGAAAGGTGAATGATTGGGTCAGTCTACTATAGAATTGGTTTGGAAATTCAAGGATCATGTTTTTACCCTAGAAAATGGAAGCAATATAGCTCCCAGAAGATAAGGGGAGATATCTTGGGCTATTATTCCCATAGGTCCAGGTAGGGCTGCTAAGTTCTACCAGGAGTATAATGAGAAAGTCCTCTCGATGAAATCAAATGATCAGAGATTCTAAGGTTGGGATGTCACTCTTGTTCCCTATTTTATAGGCTTGTGGGCAAACAACATGATGGTCTATTGGAGTACTCTGAATATGATCAAAATATATTGGTTCAGTATAACAGCAGTGACTGCTGTGGGGTCTGGTGATGCGACCGACAGCTTAGGGAAGTACCTCAAGGTTTCTAAGGTACTGTCAGCCACACAAACCTCAGAAGAATCTGATGTTAGCCAGTTAGCACGTCTCACTTCCCGTTTTCATCTCAGGGATTCTGTTACTTCAGAATGGAAGTCACTTCACTCTCTGAGTGGCTTAGTGTCAGCTGTCCAGGCTGATGATGAAGCCGGGCCTATTCTTTGGGTCTGCCACCCAGGATACCAGAATGCGCGTGCAATTTGGGATCAAAGGGATGAGAAGCTAACTGGTGTCAAGGCAGGCAATGGGGATGTTTACAAGGCTGCCAAACCGAGGTCTTGCTGGATTTGTTTGCAAAGACTCTCAGAGCACTCACAGGACTTGCAGAGTATTCATGGACACTTCTTTTTAAGTTTCTAAATACAGATGACAATAAATGGGCCATAAAAATGTATTAAAGTATCTTTGAAAATGTATTTCCACTGGCAAATTTCAGTTTTAGAAAACTGAATTGAAAATATAGATGAGAAGAAAGGTACTTGGCAATGTTTAGAAGAATAATCTCAAATTGATAACTATAAATTCGGTGAAATCACTAACATGCAAAAACTTTCAACTGACCTTTATTTAACAGTGCAACAAATAGTATATAACGAAAGAAATGCTTACCTGGTTTAAATAAAAATTATGAGGGTATGTCTGTACTAATTCTTTAATAGCATAATATCAATTGTATATTATGAAACTGTCACACTTGTACAGTGAAGCATTTAAATGCACACAGTGCTTAACCTTTGGTGTATTCCACTTGAATACTTTGAAAATTAAACTAAATACCATTATACAAATGCAAACTATTGTTATATAAACACAAATGATCGTACTTTTGTCACCCCACAGGGCTGGGCAGAGAGCAAGTATATTTATTTACCTTAATGGAAACTGAAAAGCTTTGCCCTCTCTCAAAGCTAATAAAAGAGCTCTGTAGATACTCCAGTACTCTAGCAATAATGACTTTTGGCCTGAATTTGGTACTACTTCTATGAAATGCCAGTTTTAATAAGTCATGGCAGGCTCAGAACACAAACAAAATCATGCTGGTGTACTTATATGCCATTACAATTTATCTGGGTTTCAGATATTAGAAAATGACTAGCTACAAAGTTAATTATAAAGTCTCAGGAAAAGAACACTGATTGCCTAGAAATTTACTTGCTGGAACACTGTTTTTTAATGTAACCTAATAGATTTCCTTTTTGAAATTCAAAAGACTAATACTTAATTTTCCTTCTACCCAAATATACCAATTTGTTTTTAAGGATTTAAAGTGGCCTTCAGCAAGGTAACCCAATTTAAAGATAAGTGAGAAAGAAGGAAGAAGAAACAGGATTGGAAAATAAAATAGAAATGAATCTAATATAAAAATACTTGCCAGTGGCCCTATATACTTGCTTCCCAATTCATACTGTCCATCAGATAAATCCATTGAAGAATAAGAATTAATAATATTTCAAAGATTGTGAATCATATTATCAAACTAATTAAAATATCCCATCTTTTCTGTGAGGTTAAGAAGAGTTATTTTGCAAGTGGGAAAATGAAGACATTATTGGTGTTAACTGATTCGTTCTTGAGGTAGTTGAGAGAGTTGAGGATAGAAACCAATGTTTAGGTAGTTTGTTTAAATGTCTGACCGTCTAGACTATTATTTCTCTGTTAATTTTAAGTTAAAATGTTAGGACCAAAGAGTAGGTCAAAGTGGGAAGTGTGTAGGTGTGGGAGAAACATGGTGATGTGTCCATGAGTGGCTCTGCTGTCTGAGCATTGTTTCACACTCCCACCTCATACCTAGATTTCTCTGTGTCGTCACTCATCTCCTAAGCCCTTACAGGGATGCAGTCAGGAACCTGCTCCAGCAGAGGCCCGTAGTCCAGCTGCCTTACCTGGCCCCAGTCTCCTGTCACCCAGCGAGAGGGAGGGCAGTGGCCCAGACTGCAGCGCATACGGACAGGGGGTTTGCTCTTCTCCGGACATTGTGTAGCTGGGAATGTTTTAGAGAGGTCACTGCTCTTGCACAGAACAATCCGGTGCTTGAATCCTAGACCACATTTAGCAGTGCACTGGAAATAAGACAAATATTAATGAATAATGAAAGTCTAAAGACAGTGGAAAATTTGAGGAAAGTCTTTCTTAAGGTAAATGTGTGTCTGGGTATACAATATACATACACACTAAATTCTAGGCAAAGTCTTTCAGACATGAAAATTCCTTAAGTTTTTAAGCAGAAACACTTTTATCTTTTCCCTAAGGTCTTGAAGAGCTAAATCCAAAGTATGCTTTTCTTGGCTAGCTTAGTTTCTTCTTCTATTATGGGTGGGTTTATTCCTTGATTCTCCCCTATGCTTGGCCACATTCAGCTGTGATAAGATTCTGCTAATTTTCAGAATGTGGACTCCTTGGTTTCTACTTGCTGGGTATAGTCTTCTGAAAAGAATTCTTATAAGTAGACTATGAGAACTTGTTTTTGTGATGCAAGCTAGGGTTGATTTAATTGTGTATCCTTACAGTGTGGTAGCTAAGAATACGTGGTCATAGATCAAAGTATATTGCCCAGAAAAGTCTCTGGACTTTTCCTTGCCCATCAGTTAAACATAATGAATTTGACTATTCTTTAGTTGGACCAGACTGTGCCTCATACTGAGGAAAAGTGCTTCATCCTGTGTCACAGTCTATTATTTGCCTTTTCTTCAGGTTACTTGGTGTGTCCTGTTTGCAGAGTCACCTACTTAACATGGTGGTGGACCGAAGTCCTCCAGCTTTCTTCCCTGCACATCTGAACCTTTCCTTAAAACCTGTCTTCCCTCTCAATCAATTGAGGGCCTTACCCACAACATTTTGAAACCTTGTTTCTATTACTTTTCATTCAAAAAATATTCCCAGATGTCCTGTGGGAACTATCCTAGACTAGGGGAAGGGAGGTAACAGAATGAATAAGATGGTCTCAACCTTCAAGGAGCTCATGGTTTTATGTAGGAGGCAGACATGTGAACACAAGGTTAAGCACCATAAAAAAATATATAAATTCTTGTGCCCCTAATCACCATCTGCCTATTTTATAGTTATGTATTTACATGTCTTCTCATCCCTACCAGACTATAAGCTCCATAAAATTCTCTCATTTGTTTCTTCCTTGTACACCACACCCAGGACCCAGCAGAGGGCTCTGAGTGTACACCTAATAAATATATACTATCTTTTATTGGGAAAGATGATGTTTTTGATTTACCATCAAGTAAATCGACAGGTACTGGTTGCAAGACAGTCTAAAATACTAAAACTGATTCCCTTTAGTTTTATGAACACTGTACACACCCTGAGTGGCTCTGTCACGGAAGCCCTTGAGCCTAGTGCATGTCATAGAAAGAAAGAAAAGTATTAACTTTTCTTTTTTTCAGGTGAAAATCAAGGATCCCATGAAAACTCTTCATCACAATGAATGTAGTAACAGAATGCTCCGATTTCCTCCAATTCTGAAAAAATTTCTTCAAGACGCATTTTGAAGGAGGAAACATCCAGTTCTTTCCAATACGACTCCAAAACGGGCTGTAGTTAGGGGCTTAGAGATCACGAAGGAAATTCCTGATCCCTGTTATTATCCTTTTCACAACCCAGTGCCTCATACAAGGTTAATGCTACCACCATGTGATGACTTATTACTATTAATACTGACAATAATAACAGCTAACATTTAGTAAGAATAGTATATGCTAAGTATTGTGTCAAGTGCTATAACAACATAGTCCTCACAAAAGTCCTGTGAGGTAGCAATTATTATTCTGTTTTTGAAATGAGGAAACAACCTTAGAGTTAAGTGGTTGGTAGAACGTCATGCAGCTCCTAAACGGTAGGCCTGATGCTAACTCCTCTGGGGTGTTTCCTGGGTGTTAGGTCCTGCATTATGTACTCTACATATATTATCTCATTTAATCCTCACAACAACCTTATCACTTCATACTTCAAGAAACCAAGACATACAATCACATTTTGCAATCATACACTCTGTAGGATGAATTATTATAGTTATGCAGCCTAATTCAAGCCACACTTGTGCTCTTGACTTCACATCAAGTCTCCTCCACTTAGTCTAAGGCTTAGAAGCCAAAGCCTTAGAGGATTTCTGTCACTTTCTTAAAGCTTCATATTATTATTGGTAATAAGAACACTACTACCTGACATTCCATAGAGCACCACAGTCTACAAAATACCTTCAGATACATTATTCTTACATGTGTTTTTGAGAATTATTACCAATAAATAAAGCTTAAGCAACTTCAGGTTAAAAATATAGCAAGTGTGAGAGCTGGAAGGAAACCTACACTTTAGCTCTTAGTGTAAGTAAAACAAAGTCATAAGAGTACATAAGAAGCATTAATTAGTTACAGTAAAAGGTGCATTGAAAAGTACAAGAGGATGGAAGGGTACTTCTGACTTTAAGGAGATAGGCAGAAACATGCAGGATGTATAGGGAATCAGTTTTAGTATTTTAGACTGATCAGTTCTTTATATTGGGAACATTTATTGAAAAATGCACTTGTGCCATACCCCCCTTCACATTTTAAAAGCATAAATATGTATATGAAAGCCTGGAACATATGACCCTTGCTTATTTTACTATCTTTTCCCAGTAGCAAGAAGCTTCTGCTATTATTTGAAGACAGTAGTAATATCCAGCAGTTTTTCCTAAGGCCTACATCCAAGTCCTGCTTACGATTAAGGCAGACGATGTAAGGACAGACAACTCCTTCATCTATGTCTGAGAAGTCCCCAGGAAACCAAAACCAAACCAAAACAAATAAGACTGATAATAACAGGGAGAAGAATAAGAAGAGAAAGCAGTACTAGTTATTAAGTGTCAGGCAGTGTTCTCAGTCATTATTTATGCTTGTCAGAATCTATGAAATCCTCATGGCAAACTCATGAAGACCCATTTTACAGGCGGGAAATTGAACCATGGAGAAGAACAGGTAAATCCAAAGAGCAGGTTCCTATTAGAATAAAGCTCTGAAAAATAAATGTACAAAGACATAAACCCTCTGTAGGACAATGTGCAGTTACACACCAAGCTGGACCTATAATGACATCTTCTGCTGAGGCAAGAAATAATTTTAGAAAATTACAGCCAAACCTCCACTACATAAGCCAAGTATATTCCAACCTGCAGAGAGATGACCAGCTGGATTCACAAAACAGAGAATGGCTGAAGACTGCATTTCTGCCACATTCTGATTTAATGAACGCAACAGCCCCGAACCCCACAGACCTAGCCACAAACGTTACATGTCTATACCCAGATCTCATCTCTGGTCTCTGCAAGTATTGTACTTCTTAAGGACAATTATAAAATTGTTTAAAATAGCTCATAAAACAATTAGTAAAGGCACAGGAATGCCATTTAAACCAGTTTCATTCTAAGTAAAACTCTATCCTGCAAATTCTTCTGACCTTCGCTCAGAGATGTTTAAGCAGAAATGTCCCTCAGCTTGTTTTTATTTTTACTTCTTCCTTCTGCTTTATTTAGCTTACATTTCACCTTTGCCTCTCTTTAGCCTTCTGATAATTATGTTTATCTGACAACCTGTCTTATTTAGCTTTCTAAAAAAATAAGAAATTCTAAAAAAGTGAGATGTAGCCATGATTATGTATATGATTAATAGGCATTAAATTAACTAAATTATGAATGTTTAGCACATTCTTCAGGAATAATCATTGGTATATACCCATACAAAGCATGTATTCCTGCATGCTTTTTGACTATGCAGTGAAACCCATGAATAATAATTAGAAATTGAATACCTAGTTCAGTAATAAAAATTCATTTTTTAAAGGTAAAGTATAGTTACAAATATCAATCCATTACATTTATTCTCATAATAAACCATTAGGTAGCTGGGTTGAAGATATTATTTTAGTGGACAATCCACTCTTCAGTAAAATTATTTTTTCCTTATTGCAGGTAAATATCTATTTTTTTCTCTTTTATCCATGTAATCAGTATCTCACAATTGTTTAAAAGATGACCAGACCATTTACTTTTTGTCTTCATCTCAGTGGGATATAGGAGGTGATTTTTATGAAAGATGCATTCATGCTTTAGCTTAATGTTCTATGATTAAGAAGCAAAAACATATTTTCAAGAAAAATGTATTTGAAACCACACCAGAGAAAACAGTTTGGCTCCTACTTTTAAAGAGCAGAAACAACATTTCAGAGTTAGAAGTTCTCCCAGGAGAGGTGGCTTTAATTCACTTAATTATAGTACCTAGCTAGGGTGAGTAGAACCTAGCTAGGGGTGAGCAAGGTGATGTCACAATTGTTTTCTAAAACCAAGTACTGTCCCTTACAGGTACATTATTCCCCACCACCCCCATCCTTCTTCAGTAATGCTACCCTACTGTAAGTTCTATAAAGTCAACTGAGTATGATGCCAGTGATCATTTGTCCAAGAGTAAGTACAAGAAACACCCCATTTTCAATAGGCACTCTGTGGGAGTCAACAGAACTATTCTGATACATCAAAAGAATGGCTTAGGATTGCTGGCGCCCATCCACAGTATGCAGCAATGCTTTTCAGAGTTCCTTGCCAAGAGACAGCAAAGACAGAAAACCATTTAAGTCCAACATAGCATGCGTGATGCTAAAAGTGAGGCTAGGTTATAGGAAATAGGAAAGCCATGGCTTCATTAGTTTCACAAAAGGCTGCCGAACAGTCATTTTTCCACTAAGGTAATTTGGCCTTTTTTTCCCTTTTGCCATAAGCACTGGGTGGGTTTCACTGATGGGGAAAATGGAAACAGTTCTTGGCTTTGCAACAATGGAAATTTTATATTAGAGCACCCGGCAAAGAAAAGGAAAAGGTCAAAGGGTACATTCCTCCTGCTGCAACATGTTTTCACCAGTTGAACCTCACCCTTGCGATTAGCAAAGTTCAGACAGCTGATGGTTAGAAGTGAGGAAGGGGCAGAAAAAGGAGGGGAGTTTTCATGGGCGTGTCAGGAGAATATTGTGTGAAATATTTGCAGTGTTAACTGAAAGGGACTGAAGGTTGCCTGCTCTTCTGTGGGGACCTCTTCTTCTCATTAGTGGGAGGTATTCCATTCCTCTGGGGAGAAGAGGCTCCTCAATTTCACTCTGTTATCCAAAGCCACTCAGAGTTTTATTTCACTTAATGCTATTTGCTTTTATTTATTTTGGGGAAGAGGTGGGCTTCCTGGCAAAGTAAGGAAATGGAAGTGTGAGAGTATACTCTCGTCTTTGGAAAATAAACAGGGGAGAATGTATGGGGTAAAAACATCTCCTGAACAAAGGGTGAATGTGATGGCACAGATGGTGCCCAACTAGAAATCTTTGAGACAGTAATGGCAGCATTTCTTAACTTACACTTGCCCAGAAGAGCTTTCCTGCATTGTCTGTGGAGAGGTCACAGCACCCACCAGTGTTTTAGACGGGAGTACCAGCACCTGTGCCCGTGGCCTCGGCACTGCTTCCTCCCTGTGCTTTCACTCAGCTGTCTCAAAGAAGGTAGCAGATGTGACAGAAAACCCCGTAGCTTACTCCCAGTTCTTCAGGCAGCCTCCAGGAGTGCCTAAAAGTCTCTTAGAGCCACTTGATCAAGTAACTTCTAAGATTGGATAGATAAGAATCAAAATTCTAACAGTATGGTAACTACAACCTATATGAGGTCAAATTGAGAGAAAAACATTAAAAAGTTACTTGGAATGGAAATATACAGTGATATACATAAATTATTTCTCAACATGATGATATTTGGTTGTTTTGAAAAAATATAACGATACAGAAAAGTGTAGGTCAAGAGGCCAATGTGAGACGGGTCCGCTCGTGAGGAAACTTTAGTGTTTTCATGGTCGGCAGGATTTCTGCTTATAAACTTGTCTATTTTTCTCCACTTTTTGTAGTAGGGTGATGTGGTGTGAAGTTCTGTATGCAAGCCGCCTTACTATTTATCACTATTCAATCTTCATTTATTCTTTTAAATAAACCCTTTTCTCAGCTCTGCTCTCACAACATGATCTTCGTGTTTCTGTTCAGTTGTTTCTCCTCTGAGGAGTACCTTCTCCAGCTTCCCTATTCTCTTCCTTACTTCATATCCTGGACTCCAACACTTAGTTCAACTCCCATCAGCTAAAAAGCTTTCTGATCCCTACCCCAGGATATTCTGGCCTTAGCTCTGAATTTCTATGTCACTTGTACATTTATGCCTCACAATCCACCATTTTATTAAACACTGTCTTATGTTATTCTCTAGTTGTTTCATGGAGATTTATTTTCCCAAGCTTAGAGGATTCTTTTGTATTTTCCCTGGTGCCTACCCCAGTGGGGTTAGCAAGCACTCAATTACAGTTAGACCTGAAACTCTCAAACTGTTACAGCCAATCATCCATTTTCCAATAATAAATACATCATCATTGTCAATCACTATGGATTTCTAAAAGGGTCTTGGGTACTGAATTGCAAGTAAAATAATTGCTAACATGTGTACAACTCTGTAGAATATCTATGGATCTTATCTTTCAAATGAATTTAGGAGTTAATCTACCCACTGTTAAGGAACAGAAGAGTTCATACTGTTTTCCATAACCACTGAGTGAATAATACCAAGATTATCTCTATATTTGACTGAACACAAGTAAAAGTTAGGTAGGCAGACTGTAATTACTAAGTTGGAGTATGGCCCAGAAACTTGGGAGAACATTCCCAATTCCTGCCTAAGTTTCCATATATAACCACAACTGGTCAGAATCTCCATTTCCATGTACCATCTTAAACACAGTCTCTCTTTTATTCCCATGACTCACAGAATAAGACCACTAGAGCAGTAAGAGTCACAGGGGGAAAAGTTATATCCACAGGTTCCTAAAGACAATGTTTAATTTGTTTTTTGTTTGTTTAGTTTTTGACAAACTTAAAATCTCTAAAGGAAATACCCAAAGTACTACAATGTTACCAGCAGGAAATACATCCTGTTTTGCTAACTTGGAAGAAAGACCTTTAGTTCTATAGCCAGGTACTCATCCTTTTCAACATTAACCAGCACTACAAAAGGATTTGACTCTTCTTTTGGGAAAGTGGAGAATGATGAGTCAAGAATCAACGCCACCTCTTACCTCATTTTTCCTAAGACCATTTTTCTAAAGCCCCTGGATTATTTTAGGTTCTTTTATATGCATGTATGCCAGAAAAACATTATCTGAGTCAGGTGTTCCTTACTGATCACATAAGTGGAGGAAATGATAAAATCTGAATTTTACTCATTGGCATATTATAAGCCTTAATCCATGTTTCTTTCCCAGGGGCAATAGAAACAATTAAAATATGTATGGATATATAATAAGGGAAAACAAATTGATAAAGATTCACACCTCATATTTAGATTGGCTAAAACATTACTTGGGAAAAAGGGTATAGCATATCACTAATTCTGAGCCCATGATCCTGCTCAAGAATAATAAAGAAGGAGAAAAACCATCTACATGAGTACTCACTGTAATATTCTTTCAAGTTCACTTTAGGCTTATTTTTAATTAAGTTGGTCACCAGTTTCTCACTAATTCCCTGACCTCACCCCCCCAAAAAAGACCTTACTTCCTGACAACCTGCAATAATGTATGGCCAAATTCACTGTTATGCAGTCCTTACTTGTTAAGTTCTAAGATGCTCACATGCTCAGGTGTCCTTAGTATTAAATGCTTTGGTATTGATAGTTAAGACATCTCACAACATACAGCCTCAGATTTCCTTACTTCTGACCAGTCCAAAGCCACCCACTGAGGGGGGCATGACTGGTTGTTGCAGGGCTCTTTTTCAACAGGCCGGTGTGTCAAACAACCACTGGAGTCCAGCGTCTCCTCCTCTGAAGGACCGATCTTCCTGATGCAGAGCACGGCCCTTGTGCGCATTCCACCATCACATGTCTTGCTGCACTTCAGCCAGTCCCCAATGAACCACCTGCAGCAAGAAGTGGAAGAAACACAGAAAAGCATTTCCTCAGTGCAGCCGGAGGCACTTTCATCAGTGGACTACATCCTTGTCCTAGAAGAGCTGCCATTTCAGTGTTGTTTGGTGTAACAAATGACAAATGGAAGAGCTGCTAAGGAAAAGATTACTCACTGGCAATTGCTTTGTGAAGTTGAACATGGGGTCTGGCACAGGCAGAACCCAGGTTCAAACACATAAGGCGCTGTGTATCTTTAACCTCTCTGATTTTTCCCCTTTTTTAAAAATTAATTTTTAAAATGAGTAGCAATATCAATCATGAGATTGTCACAAGGATTAAGTAAGGTAATACAGGCAAAGCTCCCAGTCATGTGCTGGTTAAATGTATATATTAATAACAGGCTCTTCATGGAGGGAAGGAGTCCTGATTGGTGTAAATAACCTCACTACCTCCAATTTCAAGATACCACCTTGACAAAATGCACATGAAAAAGAGAAGATATGCTAATAATAGGGTCTCAGGAGCCAATAATAGCTGGCTTCAGCACACCACTGAAAGCTTCTCACATTGTGTCTGGCATAAAACAAACAAGAAACTGTAACTATACTTATTATTACATTGAAGCAGTCTCTCCCACAATCAAGGGTTTAATGCTAAAACCATACTAAAAGAGCTAAGCATTTGTTTCTGGTTCCCAAAAATGAACATCAGGTTCTGCTTAAGATAGAAGGCCTTTACTGTCCTTATAGGGGCAGATCAGGCCCAGATTTCCATTCTGAAGACATGGGAGTTTTAAAAACCTGCAACAAGGGCAGAGCCCTGAGCCAGGGCTGTGAAAACATGGATATCTCTTGCTTTGACCCCTTCATTCCTAAAAACAGCCTCTATACCGAATGTGGGAAGAAATGGAACTGCCTTAACAAAATGAACATGTCTCACATTTTCTTTTTAATTAAAGTATCATTGATATACAATCTTATGATGGTTCCACATACACAACACAGTGGTTCAACCTTCACCCATATTATCAAGACCTCACCCCCTCCACCGCCATCACTGTCTGTCAATGTAGTAAGATGTTACAGAGTCATTAATTGTATTCTCCATGCTGTGCTACCATCCCAGTGACCTACCTATATTGTGACTGCAAATCATAATGCCCCTTGATCCCCTTCTCCCTCCCCACCAACCCTCCCCAACACCTCCCCTTTGGTAACCACTAGTCCCATCTTGGTGTCTGTGAGTCTAATGCTATTTTGTTCCTTCTGTTTTGCTTTGTTTTTATATTCCACAAATGAGTGAAGTTATTTGGTATTTTTCTTTCCCACCTGGCTTATTTCACTGAACATAATACCCTCTAGATCCATCCATGTTGTTGCAAATGACAGGATTTCTTTTCTTTTTATGGCTGAATAATATTCTGCTGTATATGAACACATCTCGCATTTGTAGGTATGCTACTCTTTTTCCCAAAAGTCATCAATAAATTTTCATATGTATCTAATTTCCAGGTTTTTTTTGAGTGTGTGTGATACTTCTGCAGGACTCACTCTCTTAGGCACATTAATTGATCCAAGGGGTGTGAGTCATGATCTAAATCAGATCAATGAAACCTCAGCATTAGAATTTTTATATCTCAACTAGAGCAAAAGGGACCCATTCCTTTCTGGTCACAAAGGTATATAAAGATACAAGAGCTGCTGGTGGCCATGCTCCCTGTCAGGCTGAATTAGCTGATCTGAAAAAATGCAGATGAGCTACAGAATCCTGATTCTGTCTGAGTCCTTGACTCTAGACATTCCTCAAGCTAGGCCCGTTCTTACGCTTCCCTCAGCTTGGTTATGGAAGCCAATGAGGCCTATTATGTGCAGAAGCTAGCTGAAGTTGTGATACTTCCAACTGACATCCTGGCTGATATACTATTACATTTAACTTAATAAATATATGCTGAATGCCTTCTATATTCAAGTCATTGTGGTATAGAAGAAAGTAAGACCAGTGTTAGGAATATGGTTTTCCAAACTCATGAAGAGAGCAGTGACAGAACCAGGACTAGATCCGGCATCAATTGCTATTGCCACTGAATTTTATTTTTAACACTTGTAGAATTTAGGTCACAAGCAGGAGGTCACAAGACACTTTTTTTCAACCCATGATTATAATTCATGCAACTATCCTCAGTGGATATGCTCATACTTTTAGATGGGAGACTATACAGAGAGGAAAGTACCAAAGCTTAAAACAAATTTCTATTTCTGTGAGCTTCACTCATGTGTAAGTAAGTGGAGTCAGAGTACTGGTATCCTAAAGTTGGTTCTGTTGTTAGCCAAATAAGTCACAAGGGCCTTTGTCCATTATTATTTGTATTATCGGCATTTAAAAATATAGTAATTAATCTGTTTCTCAAACCTAAAATACATATTTTTGAAACTTAAAAACTTTCTATCATAAGTTAATTTAATTTTAATCCTGACATCAATATTTTCTTTTCTAAGCCATTTTACAAAGAAGACTTAAAGTGATTTTCACATTCTTTCTGTTTTGTTTTCCACAGATGAACAGGATCCCAAGTTGTTAGTACCATTTTTGGTAAAGAGGAAAATGTGTACTGAGAATAATAACTTGCATGCCAGCCATAGTGAAACTCTGATTCAATTTGCAACAGTGATTTCATCATCAAGATTAGGGGATAAAACAGCAATGTGTATAACTCAGCCACAAAAAGTTCAGTCATACCACCTCCAGCCATGATCTCATTAGGTCTCATAATGTAAGAGGGATGGAGGCCTTCAAATTAAACACAGGTGCCCAAGAGTAACAGCCGTGATTCAAGAGGTATTGCTGTTCTTTGCTACACGAGGTCAGGGCCACCTCCACCTTGTCTTCTTTGTCCTCTCTTTTATTACCAACCATCTCTTAGCATAGATGTATTATTCCATCATTTAACTTGGAATGTATAAAAGTATTAACCTCCCTCCCAATCCCTTCTGACTTTAACTCTGATTTTAGCCCTCACATTCAGTTCCTGTTGCATCTTTATTGCTCACCAAATCATCCTTCCGCTGTCTCTTGAAAAGATTAAATCATACCCTAGTTATTTAAATAGTTTTGCAATCTTAACCACTGTATCTGCTTGTCGTAGTTTCTCCACTCTCCTACCCTGTTTGAGACAGACCGCTTCCCTCACCTTCACTCTCCATGTTTCTGATCCTCTGATGACACTTTCCCTATTTCTTTTTTTTCACTCCTCTAGATTTGGTGGTAAAAATATGCATGCAAAAATTCGCTCTGGGAGTACCAGCTGTAGGATCACTACAGTGTGAACAATACCAGGTCTGTTTCTTTCTCAGCTCTTCCCAACACACAGTGATCCAACTGTGTTCATCTTCACATGTCTTCATATCCATTTGCTGCTAACAGTTAACAGGATTCATATTTGAGCATCTGAAATAAGAGTAGCTTGGTGCGATCTGTGTAATCTGATCTATAGTAACTCTACATTGATAGGACAGAAAATCACATTTTTGGGGTAAGAGTATAAGAGTATAAAAAATTTTGTCTCAACCTAAGTTAACCAGAATATTTTTGAAGAAAGGATCCATCATAAAAACAGAATGTTACTTTTGCTTTTTAACTTAAAGGTAAATGGCAGTGCATATGCAAATACTGATATTAGGTATTTGGATTGCCAAAGAGGTTAATGGAGAGGGGAAAGGAGAGGGAAAAAGGAAGAGAGAGAGAGAGAGAGAGAGAGAGAGAGGGAGAGAGATTGTCCAGCCTTTGTCCCAGAATCAAGGGACTAATTATCAACCCTTTTTGTAACCACACACAGCAAAAATTTTTTAAGTATTCAGAATTTAAAGAACATCTTTACTCAAAGAGAGGTTCAAGTGTGTAACCTATTAACTACTTACTAAGGTACTAGAACTTTCCTAGGTTTTAAAATAAAGTTTTAGAAAACTTTTCAAAGCATGAAGTAGGTTAAAAATTTGTTCATTCCACAACTAATTGGAAAATGAGACAAATATTAAGCAGAAGCCTTTATGCCCTAAACATTCCATGGTTGAGATTTCTTTAAATTAAAAAAATCAATGTAATAAGTATCTCTAAAATTGTAGCAGTTGAGAATGTGTCAATGAAACAAGCAAAGTTTGGGAGCATTAAAGTGCCACCAGATGTTTAATTTCTAACATATAAAGTCAGTGATGTCTGGTATAATGTGAAAAACATCACTGGAGATTAGCACATCCTCATTGGTAAAATGATGGCAGTTGGCCTACATGATGTCTTTGATTATTCCCAGGTCTCAAATTTTGAAATATTACAGAGGACTCTGATGAAGCTTTTTCTAAACCTAAACGAACAGATTATAGTTGTACATGGGTGAGGTGCAATGACTCAAAATAATTGTTACCATTAAATAAAACCAAGCCCTTGGGTAAAAATCACTCCTCAGCCTGATCATCCTTTAGTACTTTTGCTTATAACTCTGCTATGGTATTTAACATATTTTGCCTTATACTATAGTTATTTATATCTATATATATATCTGCCCAATTACACTGTCCTTAGGAAATGGAACCGTTTCTCACAAAGTCAGTGCCTTCCACATCGCAGTTGCTTCCACACTGCATGTTTTTTAATGACTGGTCACAGTATTATCACAATGTGATTCTCTACTGTTCTCCACTGTTTGATTTTCACACCTTTAAAAACCACAGTGTCATAGAGAAGTAATACTCAGCATCCAAGGATTCTTCACATGAGGTCACATGCAGAAACATTCATGCTACTAAAAGACAGCATGAAAAGTCAAAATTGAACTGTTGGCCTTTCTCTTTGGATTACAACTCAGCGTCACTTCCTTTTCTCATGGTGGGGCACTAGCTTCCTGTCAGTCATGTTCTTTAAAATCAACTCCTCCCTTTTCCTTTTTCCAAGTATTTAGGCCTATGTCATGACTCCCACCATTTTCACTCAAAGCCTCAGAATTGTTTTTTCCTGTCCCTAG